CTTTTAGTCATTTTGAAAGGTTAATATTTTAAAGATAATACATTTTGAAATGAAGATGTTGATGCTAAATATGCACTTATTGTTTATTATGTTTTTGTTATAGATTATAAAGATCATTGGCCTTTGAAGGCATTAGATAATATTCTGACTCACATGAAAGAAACAAGTTTGATCAGAGGGTGTTCTGTACTTTATCTGTTAGCTCATTTCTCTATACAGTAACTTTTGTAAGACATAAGACCCCTCTATGTAGTGAGATTTATATCTATGAATCTGAAGTGATGCTGGTACTTGCTGAGCATTCCTAACTTGAAGATTAGAAAAAATCTGAAATTTTTGAAGTGCTCACTGGGTGCCACAGGTGGAAAATTCTGCATCTGACATTATGTGGCAGGTTACAGTCAGAAAGCACATGAGATAATCTGAAATCTAAAAGACTTAGGGTCCTAAGTATTACAAGATGAGGTATATTCAGCATATGCTTAATTGGTTCACAGAGTCAGGGACACAGAGAGGGAATTATTTTATGGAGGAAGTAATACTTGACAAAAGTGTTCTGGATTTTAGATAAGTTATGAACTACAATAAAGATAATATTTAAATTGATCATTTACAAATTAAATGAGTTAACTGAGCTGTGGCTTATGTTAAAACCCCTTTTATTGTGTGTCCACATTCATTCATTCATTCATCCATTCATTCATTCAATATTTGTCAATGGAGTTTCACTATGTGCCTTCAGTAAAATTTGTAAGGTCTATTTGCTATTTTTCAGCTTTGAGAATGTTGCCTAGAAAATTTAGTTTAAGCTGATGTTTGATTATACTTTTATTATCCTTGGAGTATTAAGTTCAAGAATCCAAGTGTGAGGTTATATAAAAATTCTGTTGGTCAGGGACCACATCATAAAGTAGTAAGGAATTAATTTCATTCACATTCTGGGGTGATGGTCAATATTAAAAGTTAGAAATATCACTTCTAGTACTAATTTTGTGAGGTGTTAGAGGATAAGTCATGACTGTATCAAAGCTTTGCTCCAGTACTTAACTTGCATTATAAGTGTTATGATGTTATTTAACCCAGGGCCCTGCCTGCAGCAGTTTATTACTGTAACTATTTGAACAATCTTGAAAGTGATTAAACCAGTTTTTCCCAACTGCATTTTGATGCACAGTCTTTTAAAAAAAAGAATAATAGAATGTGGAGATATGCTGAATTTAATGATTCTTTTATTATTTATTTATTTATTTTCCTGTAGGACTGCTCAAGGCTTTAATATAAACAGCGTTCTCTGGAAATTTATCCCAAAAGAAGATGTATAAGGATCCCAACTTTTTTGAACATTAAAACTCTTTCTTGGAGTGTCTTATCTGAGGATTAGTGTTCATAAAACTTTTGGGGAATCATGACTTTAAATTTAGCCTTTCTCTGTGTTCAGAATTTGACAGTGTCTTTTGGAGCATTTGTAGTGTATTTGAAATTTCAATGAAGGACTTAAACAAATAACAAATTAGGAAGTAATTGCATTCCCCAACTTAGGTGAAATTTATTTATCTAAAGTGAAAATAAATGCTTAGCAATAATCAAATAAATTGAGACTGTCTAGACAACCAGTCTGTTGAATTAAGGGCAAATTGAAGTTAATTGTTAGCTTAATCTTATTTATCACTTGAGACTGCGCTATGTTTTTAGTTTATTGATATTGAAAGGATTGTAAGATTTGGCCTTTTAAAGACAGCATCCTGCTTGCTCCTATCTAATTCTCTGATGATCCCCCCCCTCTCTCTCTCTCTCTCTCTCTCTCTCTCTCTCTCTCTCACACACACACACACACACACACACACACACACACACAAATCCACAGAATGATTTATCTCACAGTCAACACAAAATCCAGAGAGGTATAGATTAGACAGACAGACAGGAATGCATGTATGTATCAGCAACAAGCTTGTGTGCATACTGATATACTTTGTTTTTGTCTGTCAGCTACCATAATACTTGTTTAAAAATTAGAAAAATTAGCTATTAATACTTAGAATATTCTGACTCCCTTGGGCATACACATACACACACATACACACACACACACACACACACACACACACAGAGAGAGAGAGAGAGAGAGAGAGAGAGAGAGAGAGAGAGAGAGAGAGAGAGAGATGATAACTATCCTTGTTAAGCTTTCTTGGTTATTTGAGATAAAGGCAATATAAGGGCTAGAGGCAGCCCAGTGATCCTTTGCTGGCCTAGGTAGCATGTATAAGACATAGCTAGCATGCATAACATGTTCAACTCTAAGCACTAGTAAAACATACCATGTTGCAGTGTATGGTGGTGTACATCTTTAATCCCAGCAGAGACAGAAGCTTGCAGACCTCCATGTATTCCAGGTCAGCCAGCTGCATAGGAAGGCCTTATCTGAAACAAAACAAAACAAAACAAAACAACAAGCCCCAAAACAAACCAACCAACCAAACAAACTCTGTCACCCTCAGCCACATAAATGTGGTTTTGTTTTCTTAGTATGTAGTTTTTTCTAGTGATTGCAGCAAGTTTTTTGACACCTGCAACATAGCAGGGTCTCTATTCTAGGGAAGCAACAAGTTTTCATGGAGCTGGCATAGTTGCATGGTCTTGTAATCCCAGTTCTCTGGAGGCTAAGGAAAAAAGTAGCTCATATTTTAGACCTGCTTGGGCCTCATATCTTGATCCTGTCTGATTTGCTCCTCATTCATTGCTGTCTGGCCATGCTAGCACCATTGTTTATAGCACACATAGAGACATTTCACACATACTTTGAAAATAGTATCCTTAATATTTCCTCATAATTCCTTTTCCCCTGACTACCTTTGAAAAAATTAAACCTTTCCTTTCTCCTTCTCTTTTCTTTCCTATCTTCCCATTATTTCATTCATTCTTTGACATGCATAGTCTTGCTGCAAAACCAGGCTGGCCTCAAAATTTCCATCCTCCTGAATGAGCATTCTGAGTGAGGAATTACAGGGATGTTTCACCGTGCCCAGTTGAGATTTGTTTTTTTTCTACGAGTTATAATTGAATTTTATAGTGATTGGGGAGAGGGTAGAATGCATAAATGGTTAAGGAGTATAATCTCAGACTTGTTTCTTATAGTAGATAACATCTTTTGCTTCCCCTCCAAATTGACAGCTATAGTTGTTATATTAGAAACGCTTCTCTGAAGGTAGGCATGCTGCTGCATACCTGTAATCAGCAGGAGGATTGCTGACAGTTCAAGACCAGTTTGAGCTGCATAGCAAGACCCTGTCTCAAAAAAATGAAAATGAAAGAAAACACCTTACTAGACCGCAAAGTTTGTCTGTGCTTTACCTGCTAGCATTAAAAAAAAAAAACAAAACCTGTGTTTTCTAACCTTCTATTTGTCATGAAAATTCCTAATTAGTCACTGTCTTCACAATCAACATGAAAACTGAAACATTAACATTTATTTATTCAGAATCATGGAAGAAAAATTTTGCGTAATAATCATTACTCGATATCTAAGGATGTTTGGTTTCAGAACTCCTGTGAGTACCAAAATAGGAGGATCCTCAGTTTTTTAAATGAAATGATATAGTTACATAGAACCTCTATAATCATCCTATATACTTTAAATCATCTCTAGATTACTTTTAATACCTAGTAAAATACAAATTCTGTGTAAAAAGTTTCCTTGTTATTTGTAGAATAATGACAAAATGTTTGAATATCTTCACCACAGACCCAATTTTTATTTATTTTTTAATTAAGTAATATTTTGGAGGGCAGGGTCTCATGTAACCTGGACTGGCCTCAAACTCACAATATAGTTGTAGATAGATGGCCTTGAAGTTCTGATCCTCTTGCCTTTACTTTCAAGTGCTAGCATTATAGGTATACACCACCAAGTTAGCTAAGCTAAGTAGACACAATCTCTAAAAACAAAACAAAACAAAAAAACCAAACAACTCAGTCTACAGTTGATTGAATCTGAGGATCCATGGATAGGGAGGGCTAACAGTAGTTGATTTTCTTAAATATTTTCCTGTTAAATTCCAAGACCATTCTTTTAATCAGAAAGATTATTTTACATGTCGATCCCAGGTCCCTCTCCCTCCCCCCCCCCCCCCCCCCCCCCACACCCCCCCCCCCCC